AGATCCTGCAAAACCCTGCAGGATCCTTCAGGATCCTGCGCCCTCACCCGGGTCAGTGCAGCCCTGGTTCTGCAGGATCCTGCAAGCTCCGGCGCTCTGGCTGACCCCCGCTTGCATCGATCCTGGTCCCTTGATGGAGGCCTCATTGGCTGGGGTCCGAGTAGATGGGGTCGGAGGATCGCCCCGCATCTGGGGAAACCAAAAGGTACCCATACTGCTACCGGATGTCCCAAAAAGGGGGAAACGACGCAAGGGTAGAGGTATGGGTACCTTTTCCTCCTCTAAGCATCAGCGATGCATCGGCGACGTCGGCGAGGCATCGGCGACATCGGCCGCATCGGCGATGCGGCGGCCCATGCCAAGAAACACCCTGCTTGCCTCCAGGGTGCCCTGGGTTTCCTGGGTCTCGATGGCTCTGCGATGGAAATCTTGACCTTCCCACGCAGACCATCCATGGACGCACTGGGGCCTCGGGGCCGGGCTTCTTCTGTGGAAGGCTTCTCTTGTGGTCGAGCTCCGACCCCATCCAGGGGGCCTAGACTTGTGGATGCCGCCACAATGGACACCCTAACAGTCCGATCATCGAATTAAAAATGTGTTTCAAAATGTAGGAGAAATGTCCAGACGATGTCCAGCTGGCCACTCGAGGGCCCAGGGGAGGAGAGCCCTCCTCCTCCTCCTCCTCCTCCTGCTCCTCCTCCTCCTGCTCCTGCTCCTCCTCCTCCTCCTCCTCCTCCTCGTCCGCCTCCTTCTGCTCCTCGGAGCATCCTTTCACCGATCCCTACCACCAGGGGCGTGGCCCTGGTCCCACTTGCCGATCTAAACGCCTGCATTGGGATGCAGGCCGCTCTCTTCGGGTCTCGAGGGGTACATCCCCAACTGGGGGGGTGAGATGGTGGGGGTCTGGACAGATGCGGGGGTGGGGATAGAGGTCGGCGAAACGATAATGACAGGTTCTCACGCTGAGGAGAACAAACAATGACATAAACATAACAACTCGGAGGTCCGCGTGGATTCCTCGAATCGGCGCTGGGGCCCCCTGGCGGCGCCTCCGGCGTCGCTCCTGGCGCATTCCGCGCGCCGGGGAAGGGGGGTCCAGCATCGTTCCAGGAATCCACGCGGAACTCCGCGCTTTTCTGTTTATATCACTGTTTGTTCATGCCCACGCTGTCCGGGCCGCGCGGGGTGAGGAGGCCCTGCCAGGCCTCTGGCAAAGCAACCGAATTTCTGCCGCGGCCTGGCGCGTAGCCGTGAAGCGGCATTGCGACGCCCTGTGCGGCCACGGCATGTGTCCTCGTGTGCTTTGCACTCGGCTTTATCCCCCTCTCCCTTGCGGGGCCTCCCGAGGGCCCTCAGCGGAGGCCTCCCAGATGGGATCCGAGCAGATGCGGTCGGAGGATCGCGCCGCACTGCCGACGCATTGGCGATCGAGACGCATCGCCGATGCTTCGGCGATGCGGCGCGATCCTCCGACCCCATCGCTCCAACGTTGCCGCGATGAGCCTCCGAGGAGCCCTGGGCACCAGCGGGCCGTCAGGGCCTCAGCCCCCTCTGATGTACTCTGCGCGTGCAGGTCCGGCCCTCGCCAGAAAACAAATGCCGCATGGGCCGTGAGCGTCGCAGCCTCAGCTGGGCCGAGCTGCAGGACGCACACTTGCCCTGCTCGAGCGCAGCTTTGGGGAAGGGGCGTTTGTTGCTTTTGTGTTTCCTCGAGCGCATCTGGCTGTGGGTCCCGTCTTGATTTTGTGCGGGTGTGTCCCAGCTCGAGCGCATCAGGCATGCGCTCGTTTGCAATGTATGCTGCCACATCCCGCCAATTAGCGTACCACGCGAAGAGGCAAGTGTGTGTGTGTGTGTGGGTGTTGGTGTCGATCTGGGCGAGCCCACCCGGATCTCGCTCTCGCCGCTCGACCTGCTATACGCCGCGCCGCTGCGCAAGTGGCCGCGACGTCCAAACATGTCGGCGTTTGTGCGCGCGTGTGTGTGTGTATGTATGTACGTATGTCTGTCTGTCTCTGTCTCTGCCTCCGTCTATGTGTCTATCTCTGTCTGTCTGTAAGTACGGCTGTATGTATGTACGCTTGTTTGCATGAATGACTGTGTGTATGTATGTAGGTATGGTTGTGTGCATGGAGGTGTGTATGACTGTAGTGCTGTAAGGATAGATGGCTGTATGTATGAATGTACGTACGTACGTACGTACGTACGTATGTATGTATGTATGTATGTATGTATATCTGTATGTATGGTTGTTTATATGCATACATACATGCACGTATGTATGATGTGTGCATGTCTGTATCTCTGTATATATATATATATGTGTATGCATGCATGTATGTATGTATATACGCGTGTGGGCGTGCATGCATGTATGCATAAATGCCTGAGTGTATGCACGTATGTATGGCTGCATGTGTGTATGCATGCAGTGATGCCTGTGTGTATGCATGCATGTATGCACGTATGCATGAGGGCATGCAAGCATGCATGCATGTATGTATTCATGTATGCATGTGTGCGGGCATGTATGCATGCATGCATGCATGTGTGCGTTTGGTTAGATGTGTGCATGGACACATGGTATGCATTATGCATCGATGCATGCGTGTATGTACGTATGAATGTATGACTGCATCTGCGTGCATACATATATGCATGTGTGTATGTGTGTACAAACGTATGTGTGTATGCAACTGTTTATAGAGGTATGTATGCATGTACCTTTGTCTACACGTATGTGTGCATGTGTGCATGTGTGTACGCATGCATGCATGAATGAACGGGTGTATGTATGTATGAATGTATGGACGGATGTATGTATGCATGCATGCATGCATGTATGTGTATGTGTGGGTGTGTAGGTGTGCATGTGTGTATGCCTGTATAGGTGTACGTATAGATGCATGTATGCATGCATTCATGTGTGTATGTATGCATGTATGTATACCTGTATATATGGATGCATGTATGCATGTAGGTAGGTAGGTAAGTAGGTAGGTGGTTGTACGCATGCATGTACGCATGTATGTATGCATGACTGGATGTATGCATGCATATGTGTATGCATACAATCATGCATGCCGGTCTGTATGTATGTATGCATGCATGAATGTATGTATGCAAGTATGCGTGTGTGCATGTATGTATGCATGTGTGTATGGATGGATGCAGGTATGTTTGCATGTGCATATGCGTCCCTGTGTGTCCAGTGGTCTTCGAGCACAGCTGCTCCCGCTTCCTCCCTTGCCCTCCTCCTCCTCCTCCTCCTCCTCCCGCTCCTTTGTGTAGGTCCCCGACAGCTTCCTCCTGTGCGTGGACGAAAACTGAGGCCTCCTGCGGCCCGACCCCTGCCATCCTTCTCCTCCTCCTCCTCCTCCTGCTGCTCCTCTTCTCCCTCCTCCTCCTCCTCCTTCTCCGCCTCCTCATTCTCCAGTGGTCCGTGGAGGTAATCGCCGAGGCCTCCGGAGGCATCCGAAGGCCCCCAGAGGCCCAACACCACCAGCAACAGCACACCAGATCGTCGGTCCTCCTTGCGCCCAGGCGCTGCCTGGCCTGGCCCCCTCCAGCCTTCTGCTCCGCCCCCGAGGGCGACCAGTCGCGTGCTTGCCGCACTCGTTCGGGTGCTTCTCCACTTCTCGCCTGAGCGCTGCGCCTCCTCCTCCTCCTCCTCCTCCTCCTCCTCCTCCTCTTCCTCCTCCTCCTCCTCCTCCTCCTCCTACCCCTCTTTCCGCAGGCGGGAGGGAGGGCCTGATCCTCAGCCCGCAGGAGGGAGGAGAAAAAGGAGGAGGAGGAGGAGGAGGAAGAGGAGGAGGAGGAGGAGGAGGAGGAGGAGGGGCTTGTTCAAATTGACTGGGCCGTGGAGGTAGCCGCGGCTCCTGGGACTGCCGGCCCCCATCCTCGCTCGTCTTGACTCTTGGGCTGCTCTGGGGGGCACGTCTTCGTGCACGGCAGCCGCTTCCCGCAGGAGGGGGAGGAGGAGGAGGAGGAGGAGGAGGAGGAGGAGGAGGAGGAGTGAGGAGGAGGAGGAGAGGAGGAGGAGGAGGAGGAGGAGGATGATGAGGGGAGGAGAGGGGGAGCCTGCTTGTGGAGCTCTTCTCGGTCTGGGTGCTTGGCCATACGGCCGACCCCGGAAGCCCCGGAACCCCCAGATGCTGCCATCGCTTCGGGGAGGAGGAGGAGGAGGAGGAGGAGGAGGAGGAGGAGGAGGAGGAGGAGAGGAGGAGGAGGAGGGGGGGAGGGGGAGGGGGAGGAGGGGTCGACCTTTGCGGACCTCTCCGCCGCCTTCCGCCGCGGAAGCGGTGGCCCCTCCTCCGATCCTCGCAGGCAGGGCCCTCTTTGGATCGCCCCCTATGCGATGACGATGCCATGCTCTCGTGCGAAGTGACCACGCCCCTTTGGATCGCCCCCTGTGCGATGACGATGCCAAGCTCTCGTGCGAAGTGGCCACGCCCGTGTGAGCCCCCTACCCCCAGACTCCCTGGTCGGCAGAGCTTGGGGCTCTCGGAGGGCTCCACTTTTCCTTGGAAGCGGAAGCCTCTCTTGCTGCAGCGACTGGATCTGATCGACTTGTTTCCCCGGGGCCCTGGGAGGTTCCTTCCCCCCAAGCTCCAATTTCTTGTTTTTCTGGACCATGTAGTCTCAGGGGCTGGGATTAAGTTGTGCAGTCTAGAGAAGGCGGGCGCTCATAGGTGCAGGGGATCTCTCAGCGTGAGAGGCTCATCGGGGCGAGCGGTCAGCTGGCATCCCAACTTATCAATCGATGAGGATGTCCAGTGTCGACCTTCAAGTCAAGATTGCGAGGTTTGTCATGGAACTCGCATGCTGCTGTCCTCACTCTCTTCCCTCGGGTGGAGTTTCGAGGTTTGGAGCGGGTTCCTCATCCTCCTGCGGTGAAGCGTGACCCGCACCAGTGGGAACCTGTGTATGGCTTTTGGCGCTTTGGCGCTGCTGAGTCCGCATCAAATGTATCACGAGTTCCTCTTGTCCAGGCGAGGGCTAGTGTAAAGGACGCTCCCGTTTGCATAGTGTTGGTTACGAAGGCTCCAGCACCGGCCCTCGAAAGCAATGATCATGCCCATAGCTTCTTGTGACTACGGTGTCGGTGTTCTCGTCGGGGCCCAGGTTTGCAACTCGGGAAAACTCTGTAAGCACCTGACGGTCACTGGCAACAAGTACTGAACTTAGATCAGACAAGGGGAGTGTCCTGATAAAGCAGGCGTGACTCTCGATGAGAACCTGGTCAAAGGTCAATCCCAGTGCGTTTTAGCTGCAGGTTTGGCCCCATCTCTGCAGCTAGTTTTGAGGCGCTGCTGATGGCAAAGAACAGAAGGGAGAGGAGGAGGAAGAGGAGGAGGAGGAGGAGGAGGAGGAAGAGGAGGGAATTCGGGATCGGGCTCATGGGAATTCGTCTGCTGCTTCATTCTCATCTGCTCAGCTACTGCACCGGCAAATGCTACACGAGTGGACTTCTGAGGGGCCGCACTTCTCAGAGGCTGCCGGGCCGCCTCGTGCGGCCCCCATGGCCCACGAGGGCATCCTCGTAGAAGCATCGCAGCATAGCAAGGGCAAGATGGAAGCATCATCGCAGCAGCATCGCAGCATCGCAGCATGAAAGATCAAACATGATGGAAGATCAAGGCAAGGGCAAGCATAGCAACAAAAATCCGCCGGCCCCCGTGTCGGGCCACCAGGCTGTAGGCCTAAGCTTCGCAGTTTCCTGTGCCAGTTGCAGCTTCCAGTTTCCAGTGATACAGTTCTGCTTCTTGCTGCTTACTGCTCCTTGTTGACTCCTTGCTGCTTACTATTCCTTGTTGATGGACCGCGCGAAGGGGGGATGCCCAAAACGGCAATTTTTACAACGCCATGGGAAGGTTCTCAGAATTTCTGGGGAGGTAAAAATTGGCACCCCTCACGCAGATCGGCGGGGTCAGAGTCCAAAAACAAAAGGGATTTGCCACATTTCAAAAATTCGGTGACACCCCGCACGCAGATGGGGGGGGTCAGGTCCAAAAACACATGGGATTTGCCACATTTCTAAAAAAAAAACGGTGGCACCCCTCACGCAGGTCGGTGGGATCAGGGTCCAAAAACAAATAGGGTTTGCCACATGTTTGAAATTCGATGGCACCCCTCACGCAGATCGGCGGGGTCAGGGTGCAAAAACATATTGGATTTGTTACATTTCTAGAAAGTTTGCTGGCACCCCTCACGCAGATCGGCGGGGTCAGGGTCCAAAAACAAATGGGATTTGCCACATGTCTGACATGCGGTGGCACCCCATCACGCAGATCGGCGGGGTCAGGGTGCAAAAACACATAGGATTTGCAACATTTCTGAAATTCTGTGGCACCCTTCACGCAGATCGGCGGGGTCAGGGTCCAAAAACATATTGGATTTGCCACATGTCTGACATTCGGTGGCACCCCTCACGCAGATCGGCGGGGTCAGGGTCCAAAAACACAAGGGATTTGCCACATGTCTGACATTCGGTGGCACCCCTCACGCAGATCGGCAGGGTCACGACGTCTCACCAATCGCCAGGTGTGGTAACCCCTCTGGTCATCTATTGGTTTTGCTCATTACGAGTCGGCCTCGCATGAACTTCCGATACTGCTTCACGACAGCGCCCAGGCCTCATGACTCATAACATAGCTCTTGCATAGCACATTCTCCGAGAGAGGGGGCCGGCGGCAGGGGGCGAAGCCCCTACGGATAATAGACACATGGTCCCCTGAGTATTTGTTGGACTATATGAAGATTTACATGTTTTTTTCCTGGTGTGCCGGGAGGCTACCGCCACAGCGGGCGAGGGGGGGGGACCCTGCCCGGCCTCGGAGCCTCTGCAGCTGCGGAGGAGCACCACGGGACTGGGCCCCGCAGGAGAAAGGGGAGAGCCCCCTTGGGGGTGAGCGAGAGGGTGGGCGAACGGCACGTCCCGCCGCTGTGTGTGGAGCACCTCGGCGCGAAATCCGCCGATCCGGCGTGTGAGTTTCAAGGAGTCTCAGCTACAGCCTCGAGGCTGAGCCTCAGCCTCTGGGGGGGTTGCCGGGGTGGCTCTGCCGGGGAAGGGGGGGTGGGGTGGGGGGGGGTGCGAGTTTCCGGCGGATGCGTTTTTTGACACCCCTCACAAGGATCGTGGCCTCCGAGGGGGTTCCGAACTCGAGTACCACCCCTCCCGCACCAAGAGGCTCCGAGGAGGCCTCCAAGAGGCCCCAAGGGGCGCAGAAGAGGCCCCCAAGAAGCCCCAAGAGGCTCCCAAGAGACCCCCAAGAGGCCCTCTAGTGGCCCCAAGAGGCCCAAGAGGCCCCCAAGAAGCCCCAAGAGGCGCCCAAGAGGCCCCCAGAAGTCCCAGCCAACCACGAGATCCCAACCAGCATCCATGAGGCCTCTGACCCACCACCCACGCACGGTGGCGGGATAGGCCGACGGCCACTGGATAAATGCTGAGTGAGAGGAGGGGAGGGAAAAAGAGAGGAGGGACGAGGGCGAAGAAGGATC